TGTCGACATTCAATTTGTGGCAAGTGACCTCGGGGTCGATGCCAGGCATTTCATAAGGTGTCCAGGCGAACACTTCAATGTTGGCTCTCAGAAAATCTTCCAGTTCTTTTTCTTCTTCTTCGGCTAAACCTCAACCGAGAAGAAAGAAACGTTCTTCGTTGCCCTCCTGGACTAGGATTTTTTTTAATGTCTCTTCACTCTTTTCGGTTGGCTCCTTGCCGACATCATCTAGGACCTCTATGTCCTCGTCTTCAATCTCTGCTTCTTTTGGCTCTTGAATGTTGCAAGTGGACTTTGTTGCTGCCATGGAGCAACTTTTTGCTTGCAGTTGATCTCCTCTGATTTCTTTAATTCCATGCTCTGTGGGGAACCGTAGTAGTTGATGTAATGTTGAGGGAACTGCCCCCATTGCATGCAACCATGGTCTTCTCAAGATGATGTTATATGGTGAAGGTGTGTCAATTACCATAAATTTTGTTTTGATCTTCTTAGTGCCGGCTTGTACTTCCACGCTTGCTGCGCCCAGTGGCCATGTCGGCGTTCCATTGAAGCCGACCATAGGGTTGTTGGATTGTTCCAGATCGTCAGGATGAAGGCCTAGTTCCTTGTAGCATCTGACGTACATTATGTCACAAGAGCTGCCTTGATCTATTAGGATGCGTTTTACTTGGCATTCCCCAACCTGGAGGGATACTACCAAGGCATCATTATGCGGATGTTGGACCATCTCTAGGTCGGCTTCAGTGAAGGTTATCATTGGTCCTTGGCTTTCTTCAAGCCGAGGTCTTTTTTCCCCGATTTGGTAGACATGTTGTAAATACCTTACCCTCTGGGTTTCTCCTCTGACTTCGTTCTCGTTGACCCTTGAGTGGATCACATTAACCACCCTTGGTCCTCCTGCCTGTGGTTGCTGTGTTGGAGGTGGTGGAGCTGCTGGTGCTTGAGGCAATCTTGCATGTTCTTCTCTGGTTCTGGCCTCATCAACAAGGTCCCTCAGATGACTTTGCCTTACCAAGTCTTCTAAGTGTGCTTTTAGGGCTTTGCAACCCTGGGTTGGGTTCCCTTCTTCATTATGGTAAGCACAACGCCTACCCATGTTTCTTCCCATTAATTCCCCTGGTGCTCTTGCTGGAGGTCTGAAATAGGGTTGGTTTCGTATTTGATCCAGGACTTTATGGATGGGGATTCGGAACACTGTTGTCACTGCCTGTTTGCCCTTTAATTCCGTTTCTTGTTTGGGTGGTCCGTTGTTACCTCGGCTTCGCTTCGGCGAGCCGTTTGCTTTCTCCTGCTTTATTTCTTTGTTTCCCGATGTGTCTTCTTCGGCTCTGGCATATTTCTCAATTCTTGCCATGAGCTCTTCCATGCTTTTTGGCAGTGTTTTTGCCAAAGACTTCCGTAGTGGGCAGTCATCTTTCAGGTCGTTCTTGGAAGATACGACTGCCACTTCTTGGTTGCATTCGGGTATTCGATTGAACACCTCGTAGTATCTCTTTGCGTAGGCCCTAAGGCCTTCTTCCTTGGTGATTCTTAAAGCCATCAGGGCGTCGACCCTTAAGGGTTGTAGTTTGTTTGTCACAAACCTAGCTACAAACATCTCGGCCAGGCCTTCCCATGTCTTTACGCTTCCCTTTGGCAGCTTATGGAACCAATCGGATGCAATTTCCCCAAAGGATGAGGGAAATACTTTGCAGAGCAATGGCTCGTTCCCACTGTATAACGCCATTGAATTCAAGTATAGTCCAACATGAAAGTTGGGGTCTGACTTACCATCATAAATTTGGAACCTCGGCATGCTGAATCTTTTTGGTGCTTCAAATTTATCCAGTTCCACCGAGAATGGCGTTCTCGGCTTAATTTTAGAAGTTACCTCGGTTTCAACATTCTGCTGCCTCCTTTTGAAGTAATCCCTCAAGTCTTCTTTGCTTCTACTTGGAGCTCGGCTATCTCTGGACTTCAATCTTTTCGGTACACTACTTTCGGCCTCGTAGCGGGCCCGTTTTGATCTTTCTCCATGGGTTGTGTCAAAGCAGAGCGCTTGCCCTGGAACATGCCGATGTTCTTTGGGCCCTGGATCCTTCATGCGATGTGCCCTTCGGGACTCTTCTTGCCTTGGTTCCTCTCGTCCGACTTCCCCGGAACGTCGGTGAGAGTGGCTTGCACTCCTGGTGTGCTGAGGGGCTTCGGGGATTGCTTTTCTTCCTCCCTTCTGGGTATTAATTGCTGGCATTGGTGTATCTTGCAGCGGGTACGGTGGCTGCATAACATTGTTTTGCATCATGAAGTTGACCACTGACTGTAGGTCTGCCAGCTTGTTCGCCAAGTCTTTTACTTCCTCATCCCTTCGTAAGCACCTATCCCTCCAGACTTGAAGGTCATCTTCGTTGTAGTACTTGCTTTGGTTTGTCCTTTTTGTAGCGTCGCCCTCCTGGCCAATGTCTTTTTCTCCGTGGCCCTAGTCACGATTCTCTGTACTGTGGTTGTCTCCTTCAACGTCAAGGTCGATTGGTCTACCACTCCCAGCAGGAGTTTCGCCCCCAATGTTTTCCCCTTGTCCGTCACTGGCCATCTATTCTTCTAAGATTCCCACAGACGGCGCCAAATTGTGTGAGTAATTTTCTTACCACATTGCCCGCCTAGTAATCAGCTGGAGAACACCGGCAGAATAGATGGCTCCAGTAACCTGTAACAGAAAGAAAGGGCTCCGGCGGTGGCTCCTCCACCCGGGGGCACTCCGACGATCAAGTTAGTATATTTATCAAAGATAATCAAGTGCTAAACTCACAAGTTTGAATATAAAATTATATACCTTAGACCCATGGGAGTGCCTCTCTTTTATAGTTAACTCAATCCAAGTCCTACTAGAAGCATGACTTCTATAGACTTCAACTTAGTGATTACTTAGGATTTCTCAAGAGACAAAGATAAACTCCCTAAGAGTTTTTATCCTTATCTTGGCTAAGTCTCCTCTTTGTCCTAGGACTCTTGTCCCTTATCCGCTTATCTTGGATTCCGATATCTTCGGAGATAACCTTGGCAACTCCGAGATCACCTCGGCGTAATTTCCATGACACGTGGTACCTCGGCCAAACACGTCGGTATCGTCATGCCACGTGTTGGTACCCAAGAAATACATCCCCACACTAATTATTTTAAATAATTCTAAAAATAAATAAATAATAAGTTGACAGATGAGACAAAACTAGTATTTGTTTACCCCTAACAGGTACTTTTGAGCTATTACTTTATTAATTTAGTTGATTTTAATATAAATGATATTTTGGGGAAAAACCACACAAGGGAAAACAAATAATTTAATTATTAAACTTAACAACATTAATATATTTTTTTATTATAAAAGTTAATTAGAAGGGGCATGATACAAAGATTAAAAACTAAAATAGTTACCAAATGGTTAATAGTTAATTTTCTCTATTTGCCCCTATCATTTAGTAGAGACATTCATATTTGGATGATAACAATATTTTTTGTGGTATTTTTTAAATAGATAAAACGTTAAATAATTTTACTTTTGGACTATAGTTGAATGATAAGAATCGAAGATTAGAAATGTGTATCCCATTGTTAGGAATCTAATTCATAGTAATTATGTTAACTCGATGAAAATTTTGGATAATTATAGAAACTTGCGTTGGATAAAGAAATTTGTCTCATTTAAATTTTTCGTCTCTTTTTTTTAAGCATGCAGTGTGGTCATTACACCGTTTGCACAACCATCATTGTTGTGTGTACAATGAGGCCATGTCGGGTCTCATCTCGATAATCTGAATTATTCATTTTTTAATGTACATTGAGTAGAATATTTCTATAAAAAATCACATTAATTGAACATCAATAATTGTATGATCAGATGTAATTTGTATTCAGTTTTATATTCAAAATCACACATATTTTATTGAATACAAATTGAATCTGGTCATCCAATTATCAATATTCGATCAATATGATTTTTTTTTACACTAATGTTCTACTTAACATATTTTAAAAACTAACGATTTGAATCATCATGGTGAGACTTGAAATGGATCCCATTGTGTGCAGAACAATGAACACTGTGTAAAAGGCACAACAACCACACTGGATCCGTTTTTTAAACATGGGAATGTGAGATTGCTACAGAATTGAAGGGAATCAAATTCCCGATTACTCTAAGGAACTAATTCCATTTAAAATGATATATAAAGAACCACATTCCCATTAATTTTTTTTTTTTTTGGGACAAAGTAAAAATAAAAAATAAAAAATCTAGAGGGCTTGAGTTATCTAACAAAATAAACTGTGAATTTTTAAAATTTTTAATTTAAACTTTATACTTTGTATTTATTTTCAATTTAAACAATTTGTTTATTTTTATTAAGTAAAATCGATTGAAAAATGTATATTTTAGTCAATAAACTCATGAAAAAAAGTATTTTAGACATTTTATATATACTTACATTGAGTTTGATAACTAAAAGATTCTTTTTTCATTGATTTTACTTAAGAAGTAGGCTAATGTTTGAATTGAAAACAAATCAAAAGATTAAGATTTAAATTCACAAAATTAAAAACTCAAGATTTAATTTGTTACAAGACACAAACTTTTTTTTTTTTTTTTTTTGTGTGCGTGTGTGTAATTGTCTCCCATTTGTTATTTTGTCCCAATCTATGAGACGTTACAAATATAAGAATAATTACATCAAACTGAACAGTTGTAGTCCAATGCTACATATCTACAAGCTCAACAACCACCACAAAGTAAGAAACGACTTCACCAAATTCAACAATAGCTAACCCTCATAACTTTTCATAAGATTTGAACTCGCAATCTCACTATCAGATTTTTTAAGATTATTAGATTTTTCAAGATTATTGCCATTCAACGTATATAAATAGCTTTCTATAGTTGGCTTTGTTTTGCTTTTTTTAGTGAAAGACATTTTATGAAATGAAGTTGGACAAGGCTAATTTACAACATGTAATGTACTGGAATTGAACAGGTAAATTCATATGCAATATTAAGTGGGGTTGCTGCAACATTTGGTTTTACTGCGGATGCCAAGAAAAGCATAGATGATTGGGATAACATCCTCCGACAGTATGGGCACAACGATCTTTCCAGTGATCGAAAAAACCTTGACAGCTTCTATAACATGGCCTTCATCTCTGGTAGTTTCCTTCTCCTCGGATTCATCAGCTCCGGAGTCTCCTCTATTCTCTCTTCTCGCCCCGTCTCCAAGCAAGAAGATAATTAAATGCCTATAAATACAAATGCACATCTTTTGTTATTGTTGTTGGTATTGTTTTTAACTTGATAATCCAACTATAGAAAGATCCTGTTGGGAATCGGTGACTTGGGCCTACTTCAATCATGCAGGGTATATGATATAAGAAAATTCTCAAGTGAGCCCACTAAGTCCCACTAGGAACTCTCTTGACTATCAATAGAAGAGAGACTCTTCTGGTGTTTTTGTTTGTTTGTTTGTTTGTCTTTTGTGTGTGTGTGTGTGTGTGTGTGTGTGAGAAATATGTATTCCTAAATGATAATGGATTTGAACCATATGAAGAAACATATTGACTAGTTGTTTGGCAAGAACAAGAAGTTGTTCAATTAATGGGAAACATAAAACATTGAGACATCTCAGAACGAGACACCTCCAACATTGAGTCATCTCGACCAAAAAATAAATAAATAAATAAAAATAAAAACAAAACATTGTTTAAGAACAAATTGACCGTTGGATTGGAGTGTGAACGGCTAGGTTTTGTCAGTTTTAATTTCAATATCATGAACTAATCATAAATATTTAGGTGGGAGATGATATAAAATAGTAATAGAAAATAAGTGATGTATATTACTCTAAATGCTTTTTTTATTTTTTTTCACTCTAAAAAAACAGAGGGATATTTACCGATAAATCTCATCCTACATGTGTTACGAACTGCATACACATTTCCTACCCCCTACACCCCACCACATTCTGTTAATCCCAATACACGTAACAAAACAAAATGAATGCAATACATAAATGTGTTACATGACATCTCTCATGCCGTCGTTGTCCTGTCAACGATCGCCAAATATGACACGACACACAACTTTAGCACTGTCGTAGCCTCCTACTGTCGATATCACCACCTCACCGTTAATGTGGCAACGAAATCGTAATAAACTATGGGTTACAAATCAAACTTAACCCAAATCAAAATGTCTTAGATACATATCCCCGTTTTGATGTGTGTATACGGGTCGGGCCGGATGGCTAGGAAAACGGTTGTATGGCACGTACACTACACCACACAAAAAGTAGAAAGCATAAAAAACCTATAGTGCACTTTTGGGTTGTGTGACATCCATCCAAGCACACAATTTGCCACGTGTTCATCATACAAACGGATAAACATTTATATACAGCCACACATGAGCACACCAATTTAAATCACACAGCTATCACGCTGATAAAGTCAAACAAAGGTCACTTATGTCTTTTACATAACGTAGAGGACTACATGGATCACAAGTATTAAACTGAGACTAAATGGTACACAAGTTCAACATTTAGGATTTATGGGTTACTCTCCCTAGATTATATTGCTAATAGAACAAATTATTAAAATAGATAACTAAATATTAGAACTCGTCTTTATAAACTAAATTTTTCTAAAAATAAGAACAAATGATAAGAAAAGAAGGAAATCGAATCCTACACTAGACAGTTTTTTAAGACAGATTTACTGTCTCCCAATGGATGCTGAGGTACACTAGCATCTGTTTCCTAAGATACGATGGTCGAAACCAACTAATGCAGAAGCACCTTCTGAATAGTTTTGGCGAACTTAATAATGGTTGTACTTTCTCTAACAAGAACCAAAGAAGGGGCTAACAAAAAAAGATAAGAAATTTTTTTTTTTGGTGGAAAAAAAACATCTCCAATTTTTTTATCTCAAAACGCCATCTCCATTTTTCATCAACACCTTCTCCAAAATTATCCTCTTAAATTGGAGAGGAAAAACCTCTATTTATACAAGTAGGGGAATCCCTAACCATGAAGGCTATACATCAATAGGGCCATCAAATGCTATTAATCAAGACGATCAACTCTAACCATTAGGGCTAGGGTTACAAATGTTGAAAATCTATGGCCACTAATATGATCATCAACTCCATCATCAAAATATGAGAGTTACAAAAATTTACATTTCTCATGTGCTTAATATATATAAATAAATATGTATATAGTGATATTTGAATAAACCAACTAGATGGATCATAAAACGGATACTAATGTTGGGTCATAACCTGATCCAAGCCCAATTCTCAAACATATGCACAAGTTAAGCCCAACACAATATAGTTTAGCCCAAGCTCAAGATTAACTCCAAGCTCAAGTCCAAGACCAAGACCAAGACCAAGACCAAACTCAGCACAAGCACAAGCACAAGCAAAAGCACAAGCCTAGGTCTAGTCCAAACCAAGATTAAGTCCAAATTTAAGCCCAACTTTATTGATACCCACTTTATGAGACAATTCTCATTCACAACTCAATGGTTTCGACTCATTATTTTTGTATTGTAATCTTCTTACTTAAGAAAATGCAAAATCACTCAGGCCCACCTCAACTGGCTGTTGGGTCCCACTTTAATTTAAAATTAAAGTTTCTGAAAAACCATTTATCTCTAACAGAAACTAAATTTGAACAACCTATTACTTAAGTCGATAAATTTATGTGTATTAAAAAAATAAAAAAAAAACAAAGTCGCTTGAGTTAGCTAGACTAAGGGTCATTTAGGAAATTGGCTTTCTTAACGATTTTTAAATTTTTTATATATACATTTAAAAAAAAAACAAAAAACAAAAAGAGAGTTACTTTTTTGTGCTAATTTTTTGATTTTTTTGACTAAAATTAAAATTTCCCAAATAGGCTTAAATCTAATTTGAAATTGGGTCGAACATAAACAATCCAAATTTGAACATATTTGGAAACTGGTTGAGTTTACAAATTAAATTTTACCAACTACCATTTAGGTTGTAAAATATTGATAAAATTTAAAATTAAGGATTTATAATAAGGGGTGGTTTAGGAATAGACTTTTTTAATAATTTTTTGACTTTTTATTAAAAGATGTACAGAATAATAGAGAGATGCTATATCCCAAATAAATAAATAAGATGATGAGTTCTAAAATTTCATGAATTGTATTTGAATTCAAAATAAAACTTTTAAAAGTAACCAGAAAAAACATCCCCAAAAAATATATTCAATATAAAATTTTAAAATATTTGAGGCAGTAGAGAGAAAAAAAATATAGTATATAAAGGGTAGGAAGAATGTTGAGGGTAGTTAGCTAGCTATCAAAGCAAAACATGTCTATGAAAATGCCATTAGAAGCTATTTTTATGCCTGAGACTCATCAGCTTCCTAGGCGATTTAAGGTTCAGATAGTCCCACTAGTGGCTAGAATTGTGACCTTACTTTCCCTTCTTGTTTCATTTGTCCTCATGATGAGAACTAACAATTACAACATCCCTGACTCCAATTCTTTCAAAGCTCACTACCAGGATGTTCAAAGCTACAGGTAAACTATAGACGCCGTCTCATATCTACTTATATATATAATTATCGTTGATATAAATATGTACTGGTAGAGCCAGGATTTTAGCTCAAAATAGATATTATTGAGTTGAAATGTAAATAAAAATTATAATCTAATTTAATCTAATTTTTTATTTTTTATTTGATAGACTCAAAATTTGTGTGATGTAAAAGTTATATTTAAATATAAAACTGATCATTATCTTTATTATTATTAATTTAAATTTATATATGATTATCATCACGATTTAAAAAATAATCATATGTCTTCATGAAATATAAGAATAAATTCTTTATCAAGATGCACACACAAATGGAAGTTGAATGAATAATATATACAATGATTTCTATATATCGCTTGTTTTTTTTCACAGTTATGAATAACTGAATTACATGACAATATTTTATTAGTTGTCATTAATTGTGTAATTGGGAGGGAGTTTTTATGTGCATTAGAGCCGAGCTAGGTCAAGGCGCGGTAATGGGCCGTTCTATGGGCCGCGGTAAAAAGGGCTGAACGAAAGGACCTTGTAGTTAGCTCGGTCCAAGTGTGGTTACAGTCATCGCGGTCGCGCGTGGTGATTAGCTCAGTCATAGTATTCGGAGATGAGATATTTGGGCTTACTGCGGAGGACTTAGCTCTTGTTAGTTCAGTCGAAGCTTGGTATGGTTAGCTCGGTTTCAATAGGCCAAAACCGAGGTACAAGTGAAAGGAGAGCCGAGCTATGTGTTGCATGCGAAGACATCGGATTAAGTATGACAAAGGGCTAGTGGTAGCTCGGTCATGCTGTCACCCAACCGTGGTAAAACCATCTCACTTGGTTTAAACAGTGAGGGGGGTGTTGAAGGATAAGCATTATCTTTCAGGAGTATGATTCCTAGGAGGACTCTACATGGAGGAGTAAGAGTCCTAATAGGATTGTGCCACGCAGAACCTATAAAAGCTCACGACATAACCTATGTAGAGGTAACATAACTTTGATTACCGAATACACAGAGCTTTTGTCTATTTGTCTATTTTGTTGACTTAGGCATCGGAGAGGTATCCGGCACACACCCGACGGCTAGCTCACATTTGTGTTTTCAAGGAGTAAAGCGACGACGTTTGGAGGAGCACAGACTTGATCAACAGGATTATACGAGAACATTATTTCGTGCTCATACAATTGTCGCCGTCTGTGGGAATTCCTGAAAGAACAAAACCTCTTGATCGAATTTTCCTCGCTAGTTAGAAGTAATGGCGCACAATGAAGACTTGCCGCAATCTGCTATTGATGGGTAAACCCCGGAGGGGAGTGGGAGGCGCAAAGGTCTGCCCTCTATCCCTCCCATGGCGGATTTAGAGCCCTAGCGATAGAACCCCCGGAGGGATGCAAGGGGAAGGTAGGCTAACAGCCCCCGTCGCTCTCAAAGTCCTGAACGGCAGAGGCGGAGATTGGACCCTCAAGTCCTGGAGGATCGCGTAAAAGAACATGATGAGTTAATAAGGAAGATGGCGGCAGACATGGAGTCAATGAAGCGCCAGATAAAAGGAAAAGGGGTGGCGATAGGAGAGGGGCGCAAAGGCAACACGCCTCCTTGCCACTCCAAAGATCGTGGTAGGCATACCACACCATCGCAAGCAGAGAGTAGGAGCCTTAGAACAGGCGACACTCAATCAAGGACTTCCAGGACTCGTTACTTCAGGTCTGAGAGAACGAGAACAAAGAGGTCGTATACTGAGGGAAGCACCTATCAGCCCTCGCACACGCACCAGACGTCATCTAGGCACACGGAGTTGCCCAGATCATCTGACTTGCGAACTGTGCTTGAAGAAAGTGCACGATGGAAGGAAGATGTCAGGGCAGCGCGACCCGCGAAGAGTTTCAGCCCTTCAGCAGTTGGCCCCTCGGACGCATGAGAGCGTCGAGATAGGAATGCCAATACCGCACCTTGCTTACGAACCAACGGACAGAGCATTAGCAAGGTTGCAGAGCTCGCCGTTCATTCCGGCAATTGAGAATGCACCACTACCTTCGGGCTTTCTCCAGCCCAAATT